TGTAAGAAGACGGGGCTGAAGACGTTATGAGCGAGCCGAAGCAGTTTCGAGCCATTCACAGATTGCTCGCTCGCACACAACTCCTTCAGCTCCTCTGCAACAAAAAAAAACAAAAACAAAAAACAGCAGCAATACAACATACACAAAAAAAGAGACGCCAGTGCTCAGCAGCAAGGCGGCCACAGCCAATCGTAATAATAAATAGGTAGTACTAAAGAAGAATAATGAAAATAAACAACAACAAATCAACAATAATAATAATAATAATAATGGTGGCAGTGTGCCCTCCCTTCACTCCTTCGTCCATGCCACATGCACTGTATAGCCACCAGAGCAGAAATAATAGGAGGAAATCCTCAAGATATACAATTTACCTATAAATATAAATGTAAATAAAGAAATAAATATATACATGTATATACATATATATACGATAGCAATCGATCTATACATAACATATCATACATGCTATTATGCTCAATGTAGCGCCACTACAGCATATACGTACATATGCACATAAATATATTCGAGATGCATATACATATAAGTATACATCTATATACATATACATATATATACACATACGCATATACATAGATACACACATATCAATACACATAAGGATACAGATGAAGAGAAATGCTGGTTGCAACTGTCTGTGTTGACGCGTGCTTGCCTGCTTCTTCTTCTGTTTCTTTATAGATAGCCGCCTCATGAAGCATTTTTGCGCCGAAGACGAGNGCTTGCCTGCTTCTTCTTCTGTTTCTTTATAGATAGCCGCCTCATGAAGCATTTTTGCGCCGAAGACGAGGAGAAGACAAACCATAAAGACAGTGCGCAGGCGCTGCGGCAGCAACAGCGGCAGCAGCTGCCCCCCTGCAGCAGCCATGAGAGTCATCAGAACAAGAGAAAGAAAACCACCAGCGAAGACGTGCCAACGACTTCCTGCATTATTCTTCTGTTTCTCGTGCTGCTTCTGCTCCTGCTGGGTTTTCTTTGCGTGGCTGTCTGCTCTTGAGCATCGCATAGACAGAACGGCGGTTATTAGGAATGTCTGTACAGATGCCACAGATAACAAAAACAACAAAAGCGACAGAAATAACGCAGATAATATATATAATATAAATACAGAACACACAGACAACACAGGCAATACAGGCAGCACGACTCCAACGCGGAAACCTCTCCCCAGCTGACAGGCCATCTGTTTAAACCCTAAACCCTAAACCCTAAACCCTTGAAGATCGTGGCAGCAGCACAATCATTCTTGGCAGGTTTCAAGCCTCCCTAAACCCTAAACCCTTTGTCAGGAGCAACAGCATCCTTGGTGGGTTTTAATGCCATTCTCACCTTGTCACCCAGCTCGGAGCAGATGATCATGAAGAGGGTGCCGAGCAGTGCAGAGCCCCAGCTGCTGCTGCTGCTGCTGTCTGAATCCATCAGTAGCTGCTCTCTTGCTGCAGCTACGACGCTAAAGAAGAATCCGCTGATGAGGAGGGCTGAAGTGCCCCACATGGTAGCCGAAAGGGGAAACAAAAAGCGCATGCACAGAGAAAAGGAAAGAGGCAGTGGCGGTGGTTGTTGTTGCAAGCGCGATCGAACGGGGAGTCGAACGCCGCCTGGAACAGAAAGCAGCGAATAAAAAGGAAAAAGAAGAAAGCTCCAGAGCCTAAACCCTAAACCCTAAACCCTTGTGCATCCATTCGCTGTTGTTGTTGCTGGTGACCCTGTGGAAAGTAAAGGGGAGCACCAGACTTGAGGGGAATCCGGGGCGTTTTAGGGGAATACTGGAGTATTAAAGACAGAAAAAAAGAGCAGAATAAAAGGCTTTTTAATATATTTAATGTATAATGCAGGAAACAATTCAAAAGTACGGGGGGGCCGCCGTTTCATTTTCGGGGCTGCGATGCTCGCAGATGGGTAGAAGGCCCCTTTAAGCCGATTTGTTTGTAATATAGTTTCGTGTATACCTTAACAACAATTCCATTATATTTAATAGGACCATCAAATTCATTACTATATGTACATTAATTGTATTATCTTACACGTATATCTAATCCAAGAAGACCTCAAGGCAACGAAACAAATGAAGGAATTCTGTTTTCCCCCTGACACCTCAGCTGTCTAAATTCACGAATTTTTGAGTTATTTGATTTCATTTAAACACTTAATATTGTCAGGAGACTTTTGTGAATGAGTTTGATGCAATATAAGCGACCGGTAGTTTATGAATATTTTGGTTGGTTTAGCACAAATTAAACAAAAAACATTATCATATAGCTTTTTTTAATTAGTTTAATAAAATCCAAACAATAAATATTATCACATAATGCTTCTGAAAGCACTACTGGGCACTGCCACCCCTATTGTCTAAAGCTTATTATATGCGGTGTACTTTCGGTATACCAAATAATAATAATAATAATAACACAATAATAATAATAATAATAATACAAGTAACACAAATAATACTAAACGGTAGCAACAACGACGGAGACACACACAAGTAGCAGCAGTAAGTGGAAAGTTTGTGCAAAAAATATTAAACCAACATGGCAGCTAGCACAGCAAATAGTCCCCATCATCCTGTTCAATATACATGTATATATATATATATATATATATATATATNTATATATATATATATATATATATATATATTGATATTCCTAAAGCTGTGTCTGTCGTCTTATGTATATAATGGCTCGAATATAAGTATACTCCTGAAATTGGCTTTGTTGTTTTATATGGATTTCAATTTCTCGCTTGTAGTGTGGCGTATGCTATGGTCATGCTGGCTGGAATTTGTGCATGCACCTGTATACCGAGGGCAAGGAAATGTTTAACTGTTGTCTACTGTGTCAGTCCATGCAGCAATAGACGTTGTAGGGTTGCATCGGATGCTATGCAGCAGCAGCAGCAGCAGCAGCAGCAGCAGCAGCGGTAGTGGTAGAGCAGTTGGTACATGTGTATTTCCTTGCGTAGGAGCTGCCTACTAAGGGCGAGGTACGTTTCCAGCATTTGTCACAAGTGTTAGCGCATACAGTAAACGAGGCTTGGATCTGCATACATGTGGGCTGCCTTGTAGAACATGTTATAACAGAGGTGAAGCTCGCTGTAACAACTCATCTTAGCATGTTTCCCCCCCAAGGCCCCAGGCCCTTCTGCTGCCGGGCTCAGGCTCGCTGAAGACTGGAAAGGAAACCAGATGCCCTTTGGAAATTCTTATCTTAGGCTTTATGATCCTTTTGCAGCGCGCCGTGGTCCACGTCTACTATCCAGGACACCCCTTACAAGCAGCAACGGCAACAGCAGCAGCAGCAACAAGATATTAGTGCGAGTCCTCGGTCTCAGCACATGATTATCATCGCCTGGAAAGGTGTCAAGATGCTTATAATCAGATAATTAGATTTACTTCACACATAATTTCTGCAATATAATACAATATACAATGACGGTTTTTTTCTCGCCCTCAGTCGCTAGGAGTCCTAGGGGCAGCCCACAAAACTCCGGAGCTGATGATGATGCGGAGAGCAGAAAGACAGATTATCTCACGAGTTGCAGCACTCCTTGTTGCAACTGCTGATGCTGCTGCCGCTGCGCGACAACCCTGCCTGCCACCCCACAAATCGTCTTCTGGTGGATGCACATGGGACAAATACAATTGTTGAACACGGCGCTGAGTAGCTGACGTGCACGCAAGTAGAAATACAAATAATTAATAACTTGAACAGACCGTATCGCAGAGGCCCACACGGATTAGAGAGTTTAGGCCAGCCGTTGAGCCCCTTTTGATGATGTAATCAAAATAGAATACACATTTCATAAATTAAAGTATCTTTAATCTGGTAGGAGCAGCAACAGTCCCGTGCATCAACAGTGGTATTCTGTAGCGCCACTTCCCCACGGCTCTAGCGGCTCACGAGGCGCCGGCGAGGGCGCCTGTAGGCGAAACGTGGAAAAGAATGCGCATTTTAATGCAACAAAATAATAATAATCATTAATTACAACACTGACGGGCAATAAATAGCAAAAACGAACGCTTGGTTCCGTGAACACACAGTCATCTGCTTGTGTGAACGCCGCGCAACAAGGCAGCAACACACTGCAACACTTGGGCGTGCATAGTAAACCGTTCCCCCTCCTCCGTATTGATGGACATTTCAGGACAAATTCATATCCCTGTTAAGCTAAATGGTATGTTTGATTTATCAATCCATCTGGTTTTATTTTCGTTGAAACTCACGGAGCTGCAGCTTAATGGTTCTGCCGCAAAGACCGACCGCAAGGACTGCTGCTCGTAATCTGCTCTCCTATGCGTCCGTTGCAGTCTCCCTCTTTCTCTGCATCCTTTGTTTAAATGAGAAGAATGCCTATCTTTCTGCCTATTCTTTGACGTATTTGAACTGAAAGCAGAATTTTTTGACCTTCTTTCCTTTTGTTTCTCCTTTAGGTTCTCAGTTTCCCCCCCTTCGATTCACCTTGTGCCGTCGATGCGGCTCCGAGTCGGTTGTTGTTTTCAGCTTTCCAGCTAGTTTCCTCAAGCAATTCAAATAGTTTTATTATTTTCACGTTGTTTTTGTAATAAAACCGGCACGCATGCGGTGTCGTCTGAAGGTATAGGGGTTCGTCACATGTTGATTTCTGCTACTCGGTTGTAACAGGTTCTACAACATGTTTATGCTGCAGCCCAGCTGCATCAGAAGAGTTAAACTCTCCTCCTCTTCTCCAGCAGCTTCACTACAGCCCCCTATAGTGTACAGGAGCAGCTGAGATCTCATGCCTTTCTCTACAGCGGCAGTGGGGGGGGGCGGGGGGGGACCTCTCCTCGGTGCCCACGACATTTTAATAGATCATGCAGCAGCAGAAACGTGCTGCAACAATGAAACTTCCCTCAAGCTTCCTCATGCTTTCAGCAGCAGGGCCAAGGATGTCTCCTCCATCCGTCTTCTGGTCGTGACTGTTGCTGCCTTAGCTCTGTCATTTTTGCTGCTGCGCTGCTTCAACCACATGCGGGCGCAGCAACAGCAGCTCCAGCATCAGCAGAAGAACCAGAGGTTGTTAGCAGGGGGCAACTCGAAGGAATGCTTCGGGGCCGGGTATTCAGACTCAGAGGAAGAGGGCGAAGAGAAAGACAAGGAAAGTGAAGGCGAAAAAGAAAAAGAAGAAGCAGACGAAGAAGAGGAAGAAGAAACGGAAGAAACCTCCAAGATGCCTTGGAGTTGGAAGGGAAGCCTTGATCCCGTTTCAGCCCGCCTGGATGCAGATGCTGCTGCAGCAGCTGGTGCTGCAACAGGGTGGGAAGCGGGGCTAATGCAATATCCTACGTGGTCCGTGGGAGAAGTACATGGCGGACCACCTCTCCCGTTATATACAGGCGATGCGCAAACAGCAGGAACTGCTGCTGCTGCTGGTGCTTCTGGGGGGTTGTACTTCGTCCCCGGTGGGTTTGGCTTCGGCGAGCCGCCTTCCCCCGGGCTGCTGGCTCAAACAGCCGGATATCAGCAGCAGGAAACAATGGAAAGCGAAGAAGAAGAAGAAGAAGAAGTGGAAGAAGAAGAAGAAGGCCTTAAAGAATCTGCAGCGATCGAGTTTTTTGGTAAGGGGCCGTACACCTCAGAATCCTCTGACCACACCTCCGATTCCTCCCCCCTGTCGCAGCGTGAAAGCCCCAAAGAATTGCATTCCCCTCACTTTCCTTCTCCTGAAGAATTATATTATTATGGGGAACATTCGGAGGCTCCCTTCATAGATGAACCGTACACAGAGGATTCCTTTTCAGAAGGGGAGGACGAGCCGCTGCTGTTCTCTGGTTCCGACGAAGAGCAGCTGGACGACCCCGAAGAGGAAGGCGGTTCTCCTTCCTCGGCTTTCTTCGCGCAGCAGCAGCGTGCTCCAGCAGCAGCAGCAGCAGGACCTGCATCACCAGGAGCTGCAGCACCTGGAGCAGTAGCGATAAGAGCAGCAGTGCCAGGAGCAGCACCAGTACAAGGAGTAGCAGCACCACCAGGCGCAGCAACAGCACCAGGAGCAGCACCACCAGGAACAGCAGCAGCACCAGGCGCAGAAGCAGCACCGGGAGTAGCAGCAGCACCAGGCGCAGCAGCAGCGCCAGGAGCAGAAGCAGCACCAGGAGCAGCGGCAGCACCAGGCGCAGCGGTAGCACCAGGCGCAGCAGCAGCGCCAGGCGCAGAAGCAGCACCAGGAGCAGCGGCAGCACCAGGCGCAGCGGCAGCACCAGGCGCAGCAGCAGCGCCAGGCGCGGCAGAAGCACCTGGAGCAGCAGCATTAGGGGCAACAGCCGAACCAGGAGAAGCAAGAACAGGGCCTCCCGTTTGGGATGGTGCGTTGTTAGAGCGTGTTCATTTGTACCAGGATGAGAAGCTGGAGGACTGGTGTGGCCGGGGTATGCCGCGTATAGCGCGCCTCCAGATGAGAAATATTCTAGATTGGATGAATAGGAACGCGGCGATGTGCAGCAGTTTACTGCCCCTCCTTCGTGCTGGTCAGGGTTTGCGTCTGTCTTTTGTGGTGATGCGCCTCGTATCTCTTGACTTAGGGGCGCTCTCATTGCTGCCGGAGGAGCTGGAGCCCCAGAGATTTGCAGCAGGAACAGCAATCTTAGAGCTGGCAAGAACTGCTGCCGCTTACGGACGCAACGACCCAGATCTGCGAGACTACTGCAGCAGCATAGAGTTGGGGATGCCTCTGGTGGAGCAGTTGATGCAGCCGAGGCCGCCAGTACCGGATATGTCTCCGGTGAGGAAGCGATCAAGAACCTTGAATATAATGGGTTCTATACGTCTCATTCAGAAATACATAGCCAATGCGCTGTGGGTAATACCGCAGTACGCAGAGATGCGGTCGGATTCTGAATTGCAGACTGCGGTGGAGCGTGTCATAAAGGTACTGAATGCACTGTGGGATGCTCACATGCATCAGATTAATACTGATAGAATGCACCGCAAATATATCTTAGACTGTCAAACACTAACTGGTTCTTGGTTTCTCATTGGGAGAGGACAAATCGCTTCAGGGCTTCTGGCGGAATTCAAAAGATATAGAGAAACGGAAAGACTGTTTAGAGGTGTTGTATCTCGAGCTGGGGGCATTCCTCCCAGTCTGGAAGCAAAGAATGCTACTGCAGGAGGGAAAGGCAAGGAAACATCAGAAACGAAACACAAACATGGTGCTGCCGATGCTTCGGCTGCTGCTGCTGCTAAAGAACAGCTGCCGCGAAGCACGC